TCCAAAGACCTTGGGGAGCCGCATCCGGCCCCCGGGCCTTAGGTTGCCTACCCCTGGCTTAGTTCCTTCTTGGGTCCTGGGATTTGTTTTTTGTCTTGGTTGTTTTGGGACATAGCACTGTATGACTATTTGGAGTGTGCTTGTGTGTCCGTGTGTTTCTTCTCCACTGTATCATCTCTATTTTTTCTTTTAAATATTGTGCATCTTCCCTGTTGTACTTAAAATTTGTTGTCCTCCTAGTGACCTGCAGGGTGTTAGAACATACGCGAAAAAGGATGGGAGTGACTGGATTCTGAATGGCAGTAAGGTATGTACAGGGAGGATCCTGTTCTTGTGGCTTTGGGATGGAAATTATCCTGCTGCGTTGGAGATCTTTGTTTTGAAGCTGTGGACTTGGCATTGTGCAATCTTTTAATCAAGCATTACCAAGCCATCACCCTTTGCATTTTATAGAACACACGTTGCCAAATCGACATGGTTACTGCTGCTGGCAGCCTCAATATTCAATTAGCTTAGCAGGTGGTTTTTTTGTACTCCTTTTCTCTGGGAAAGATATAAAGAGCATTTCAAGAATTTGGCCTTTTTGTACTCTAATGTGGTTGGTCTGAACAGGGTAACCAATGCTCAAATATTTCACAGTTCAAAAGAGTTGGCAGCAGAATGACCTCCCTGGTATGAAAAAGCCTGGAGGAAATCAAGGAGGCAAATAAAAACTTGACTACATCAATGCAAAAAAGGAGTTCCTTTCTTGGTGTGTGTATTGTTGAAGCTTCAGGGAAAATGTCACCTTGGATGCTGACAACATGCATCCCAGTTGCTGTTGCTTTGCAGGGTATTAGCTTTGCATTTACAGGCTGTTAATTTTAGTTAAAACTGTTACTCCCCTGACAGGAATTTTGAGGAGAAGAGGTTTGAACATATTTAGTTCAGGTTAACTAACTTTAGAGAGGTGTTGTGAGGATACAATTGCACTGCCTTGAACTCCATAGTAAAATGATAGCATATATGGTTTAGTGAAGTGGTTCCCAAATTTGGTCATCCAGATGTTTTGGACTTCATCTCCCAGAATTCCTAATTGTTGGCCAAGCTGAGTAGGGCTTCTGGGAGTTGAAGTATAAATCACCTGGAGGACCAAAGTTTGGGAAACACTGGTTTAGTGGTTAGGGATGAACTAGAACTGTGAAGACTTGGATCATATCCATGTTCAGGCATCAAGGTCACAGGCTAACTTTGGACCAGCCTAATGTCACTTGAAGCAGTAACCTCTCTATGCCTAAGAGTAGGACCGGTCCTAGTAGTGAGATAATCTAAATGATTCTGCCTTAAGCCAGAGGGCAGAATTTGATTCTCTTCAGGTTTCTTCTGGATCATTTCTTTTTGTAAACAGCAATTCAGTATGATCTTGATTACACTTATACTAACATGAGCTCATGCTACTGACTTCTGTCTCTCACCTAGTCTCAAAGGTGCTACAAGATCCCTTTGCATACTGATTTTCCAGACTAACATGGCTGTGCCTTTGATTAAACAGAGAAAGCAGGAAAACCAAAAGAGCAAATTTAGCAGCAAAAGTTTGAATCATTAACTCAAGCATGGCTAGCTGTACGGTAGCATTATTAGAATGGGTTTTACAGTTCAGAATAGGCCACTTTGAATAGCCTTAGCAGCAATGTTCCATCCAAGAAAAAAGAAATAATGGTAATAGCATAGAGTTGTTATACCCCTTTTTGTTGTATTCTCAGGTATTCATTACTAATGGCTGGATGAGTGACTTAGTGATTGTTGTGGCTGTTACTAACCGTGAGGCCCGTTCCCCTGCTCATGGCATAAGCCTCTTCCTAGTGGAAAATGGAATGAAAGGGTTCATCAAAGGACGTAAACTGGAGAAGATAGGACTGAAAGCACAGGTGAGTCCTAGGAGCCACTCTATGTGTCTGTGTGTGTGTGTGGTCTTCAGTGCAATCTGAGGAATATTTCAGGTCTTAATTTTTTGTTAAAATAAATAACAGGCTAGGGTTTACTTGAAGTACGCTGTAGAAAAGGTGGTATCCTTGCATAGTTTTCAAAACTGTTTTATCCTAAATCCCATGAGCTTTCCCTTAGTGAAGCAGAGAAATTCCTGTGAACCCACAGAGACCTCTACTCAGAATCCAGCTGGAAGCATTTGTTGCTTTATATGTCTGCCTTGTGAACATATAATGTGGGTATGATGGGAGCCTGATTTTTAGCCTCAAAAGAAGTATGTAGGCGAAGGCAGCTGAACATTCCACTGCATTAGCTCCCTGCTATTCCCATGTCCAAACTTTCTCTTTTTTTCCCTTTCGTGCCCACCACCTCCAGTCTAGCTCCACTAATGGATATATGCCAGTCTGGGAGAGAGGTTCCTGGGCTGATGGGGTATGGGGGAAGTAGATAAAGGGAGATGATTATTTTGAATCATTTGTACACCTCTTTGATGTTAAAAAGTCGGGCTCACTTCATGAACAGAGCAGCCATATGGCTAGATGGACATGGCTGTGGCTATCACATCTTGTATGGCCTTCAGACATTGGATGGGTCACTTGGTCATTTTCATCAACATTTTCCTCCCAACCTCTCTGCAGCCCTTATGAGCCTGCATCTCCTCCAGCATGTCCTGTCCCTAATGGATTGATTGTCTATGCAAGAAGGAAAAAGGTAGTGCAAGGAATAAGACCTGGGAAATCTGAAACAATGATGATGGCAAATGTATGGTTTTATTTGATTAAAATCAGGATACAGCGGAGCTGTTTTTCGAAGATGTTCATCTGCCTGCCAGTGCCTTGCTGGGACAGGAGAACAAAGGCTTCTATTATCTAATGGCAGAGCTTCCTCAGGTAAGAGAAAGAGACAAAACCATGCTAAGGCATAAAACCACACTAGAGAAATTCACACAAAGGCATTATTTGTTCATTTCAAATGGCCAGCTACAGATTATGCACCATGCGACATTTGATCTCCAGCACAGGTTGTTGACAACGACTACCTGCTGATTCTAGCAGTGCTGGGAATCTTACAATCCCTTTTGGGGTATAATCTTTTACTGTGTTACAGGTGTGAGCTTTAATGTCACAAAATAGTTTAATCATATTACGCAGAACAAACCAGGCAACATAGGGTACATGTATTGTGCATTTGGAGCTTGTGCCTGTTGTAATA